CTTTCCTCGCCTGTGTTCGGGGAATCTGTGCCACCCGTCACAGGGTAGAGATCGAGTGAGTGAAATGAAGAATGTGAATGATTATTGAAAACCAGAAAGCATTACAAATGCGTTAGCCATTCCAAGATCTAAGGTGGCGCTATTGATTTCAAGGCCTGTCATTTCTAGAGAGGCATTGAGAAGTTTCTGAGGGCTGCTCGATGACAACACGAGTTTGTTTTTCAGTTGTGTAAGATAATTTGTTTTATTCTATGGAGAACTAAGAACTCCTAGACATAGTTTCTGGCCCTGCAAACCCAACGTTGGTGTCAGGCCAACGCTGAGGGGCTTGGGTAGGTCAGGAGTGGCGTGGGCTTACTGAGGACTAAGCACTTGGTCGCGGGGAGCTTATCTCAGAGTTTTAAAAACGACAGATGGAGAATGAATGAAGAATGAACATGCAAAGGCCGTCTTTGAGGCCATACGCATTTGAACTTATATGTGATTTTTTTTTTTTTTTTGAGACATCTCACTCTGTCACCCAGGCTGGAGTGCAACAGTGCGATCTTGGCTCACTGCAACCTCCGCCTCCAGGGTTCAAGTGATTTCATGCCTCAGCCTCCCGAGTAGCTGAGATTACAGGCACCTGGCACCACACCCAGCTAATTTTTGTATTTTTAATACGGACGAGGTTTCACCACATTGGCCAGGCTGACTGGTCTTTATTTTTTATTTTTTTGAGATGGAGTCTTGCTCCGTCACCCAGGCTGGAGTGCAGTGGCCAGACCTCGGCTCACTGCAACCTCCACCCCCTGGGTTCAAGCAATTCTCCTGCCTCAGCCTCCTGACCGGCTGGGATTACAGGCCCCTGCCACTGCACCCATCTAATTTTTTATTTTTTTTATATATGTTTAATAGAAATGGGGTTTCACCATCTTGGTCAGGCTAGTCTTGAACTTCTGACCTTGTGATCCACCCACTTTGGCCTCCCAAAGTGTTGAGACCACAGGCGTGAGCCACCTCACCTGGCCAGGCTGATCTTCAACTCCTGACCGCAAGTGATCCACCCACCTCAGCCTCCCAAAGTGCTGGGATTACAGGCATGAGCCACTGCACTTGGCCAAATGACTGATTTTACCATGGTGATGCAGAGCCCCGATCCGGCTCCTAGATTCTAGGAAGCTTAAAGACCTCTCCAGTGGGTTCTTATTCTGATTCTTAGCAAATAGGAGAGTGTTGGGAGGGCGAGCTTAATCCTTCCCGCCTACTTAACATTTCTCAGTTCATATGACGACCGTCCACACACTAAATTTGGGGAATTGTGGGATTTCCTTTCGAATCTGAACTGATTCGAATCTGATTAATTCACTTTTTAAAGTATCCTCATTTCTACTCACTTGTTTACTCTCCTTTTGAGAATTATTTACATTACAAATGAAACCGGCTCTCTTTACCTTCTTCCTCGCTCTCTCAGACCTTTTCTTTCTCTTCTCCATGGCTTCAGAACCGTGTTTGTTTGTACCCAGCAGAGCTTACTTGGGGTGTCACTTGCTTCAGAATGCTGCCTCTGCAGTGCACACCTGTCCTCCTCCTTAAATCACGAAATTCACCTGACACTGGAAAGCAGGGTTAAAAACCAGAATTTATTGGGAGGCCAAGGTAGGTGGATCAGGAGTTCGAGACCAGCCTAGCCAACATGGTGAAACCCCATCTCTACTAAAAATAAAATAAAAATAAAAATAAAATTTAAAAAGCCAGGCATGGTGGCGTGTGCCTATAATCACAGCTACTTGGGAGTATGAAGCAAGAGAATCACTTGAACCCGAGAGGCAGAGGTTGCAGTGAGCCAAGATTGTGCCACTGCACTCCAGCCTGGGAGGCAGAGGGAGACTCCATCTCAAAAACAGACAAACAAACAAACAGTATTTAAACCAACCTGGAAAACATGAGGAAAAGAAATGTGTAAAATTGTCTATTTGGGGAGCTAAAGGGACCTTTGGTGTCTATTAGTCAAGCTCCATCATTCCATGCCCACAGAGACTCAGCCACCTGCCAGGTGGTGGCAAAGCCAGGGCAGGAGCCAGTGAGACCTGGGTGGGGAGGGGAGGGGCACCTTAGAGTGGGCCATGTCGCTGTCCAAGGTTACTTTACATTGTAGCGTAAAGGTCACAACAGTGCTACATTTTACTAATTGATTTTACATTGAAACATTTTAGTTTCAGGGTTATTTTTGTTTGCTTGTTTACAAATGGTGCTAAAGGCTGCAGAATCTTAATTTATAAAACACTGGCAAGGACTCAAGACCAGAAGAATTCATGTAGATACTAATAAAACAGTCTTTGTGCATTAAATTTTCCAGCTCAAAGGCATCTTAGAGCTTATCTACTTCAATGTTCTACATGTGAAGAAATTAAGTCCCCAGGCAGAAGTGCTATAATAATACTTTAAGGCAACAGAATTTGTTAATATGATTTCTTGATTTTGTTTCTTCATACAATTAAGCAGATAGGACTTATTTTCAGAAAAACAGCTGAGAAGAGAGGGTGGGGGAAGAAACCGTACCTGATACATTGCCTTACCCAAGAGAACCCTTAGTCCATTTTCTGTTGCTGTAACTGAATACCTGAGGCTAGGTAATATACAAAGAAAAGGGATTTATTTCTTATGGTTCTGGAGGCTGGAAAGTCCAAGTTGAGGGGATGCCGCAGAGTCTCAAGGTGGCCCAAGGCATCATCACATATGGTGAGGGGGCTGGGCATGCTGGCCCAAGTCTCCTTTCCTCCTCTTATGAAGCCACTAAGGCCTCATCCTGATGACCTCAGCTGCTCCTGATTACCTCTCAGATATCATAGTCAGATTTCCCATCCTCTTACACAGCTACAGTGTGGATTAAGTTTCAATGTGAGTTTCAGAGGGGACAGATATTCAAATCCTAGCACCCCCCAAGCTCCACAATCTCAACAATAATGTTTGCCAAGCAGCTTTGTCCGATCCACATCTCTGTAAGAAGTTTCTGCTTCTTCCAGCATTGACTTTGCTGAGGATGAGGCCACCTTGACTTGATTGAGGGTGTATGTCTCCGCACATGGGCGGGTTCTTTTCTTGTGCTGCAGAGTCCCAAGGGACCCTGGACATAAAGGCCGGGCCTGGTGTGGCAGGTCCCTTTGTTTCCCCATTCCTGCTGCCGTGCTGGGCCTGGGGTATCCCATTGCCAGATCCACTTCAGAGTGTCTGCTCCAGCAGGGACGTGTAGGGTCCTCAGGGTACTCTGGCACAACGACCAGCAGAGGATTGAAGTGGGAGGCAGTCACAGGTGGTGGCTCAGGATGCAGGTGAACACATGAGTTCCAATGCTGACTCCTCCATCTGCAGTTTGCCTACCTGTAAAATGGGAATAATAGCATTGAGCTCATCCAATTTTGTGAGGATTAAATGACACAGTTCATGTAAAGTTCTTAGCACAGTGCCCAGCACAAAGTAAGGCCAGGTAGAAAAGATCAGCCAAAAACAGGAGAAGGTGGAGTAAGGCAGGTGAGGCTGCTTTTCAGAACTCTCCTGAGTCACTGGACACAGGAGCAAAGCTGTTATAATGTAGACCTTACCAGAAGACCTAGAGCCCCGTGAATCATTTAGAGCCTAAAGCAGGGCTTGGTCCTCTAATCCTTCAGCTAGTTTAATATTTAAATATTCTATTGAATAATTTTATGAATTATGTGGTGACCATAGAGGCCAGATTCACTATGTACCGCTGCATCTCAACATTCGTCTTTCTAAACAACAAATGGAAGATACCTCATAAGGCAACATTTTTCTAATCTTGGAGGCAAAAATGCCTACGTTTAAAGAAAAGTAATTTTCTGCTTCAGACCTTTAAAAACATGTGACTTAATTTAAAGTCACATGTTTAAATGTTAATAAAAATGTGATTAACATTTAAATTAGAAATTTCAAATTTCGACTGCACATTTCCATCTCCTTTCCACTGGATTCTCAAGATGCTCTCGGAGACCGAGGTTGGGATTCTTATTCCCCACATCCTGACCAAGCTGAGCCACTGTCTGCACAGAGCCTGTGACCGCTGCATGGTAAATGCAGAATCCTGGCTCTGGGTCCCCTCCCTGTTGTGCAGGCCTGGCCACAGAGTGTAATTTTGTCTGGACTCCAGATCCACTCTTGAGGGCCTGTGTTAGAACCTGACTTCTGGGAGAGTTCAAATTCTTAACATTTTTGGACAAACATTTCATTCCTGTCCCCAGCAGCCTTCAAATACGGCTTTTGTAAATACTTTCCCCTCAATATTTCGGTGGAATTTTTGGTCCCTGTCCTATTGCAGTAAGTCTCCATATTTAAGGACCCTTTTCATATTTGATCTCTTTTAGAAATTAAATCTTCCTCTAATGCGAGGAAAGGCGCAGTTGACTAAGCTCAGGATGGGACCAGTGTTCTAACCTTTCTCACTGATTTCCTCTGCTGTCAGATACGGAATATAGCACCTGCCCTCTAGGGCTGCCGTCAAGTTAAATGAAATAGTGCTTCCAGTGGGTACTCAGTAACTGGTAGCTTTCTTTAATCATTAAGAATGTTGTTTTCGGCTGGGTTTGGTGGCTCACGCCTACAATCCTAGCACTTTGGGAGGCTGAGGCAGGTGGATCACCTGAGGTCAGGAGTTCGAGACCATCCTGGCCAACATGGCAAAACCCCATCTCCACTAAAAATACAAAAAAAAATTAGCCAGATATGGTGGTGCACGCCTGTAGTCCCAGCTACTTGGGAGGCTGACACACGAGAATTGCTTGAACCTGGGAAGCAAACGCTGCAATGAGCCAAGATCGTGGCATTGCACTCCAGCCTGGGCAACGGAGCCAGCCTCCATCTCAAAATATAAATAAATGGATGAATAAATAATAAATAAAATTGTTTTCATTATTATTTAGAGTTTTAGGTCCACAAAATAGGACCATAGCTCCTTTTCCTGAACTGTGTTCCCACTGGCCACTTTAATGGAACCTTCTTTGCCCACTTAGGATCTGAGGGCAGGTGACTTGCATTCCACTGTAGCCTGTACAGGATCTGAGGGTGACTTGCATTCCACTGCAGCCTCTGGGGCTCTCGCCGGTATCCCATGAAGCTTGAGTGAAACCACCCCTGCCCCCCACCGCCTCTTTCTGCATGGGCTGGTCCATGCCAGCTGTTGTCAGCCCTTCGCCCTATCAGTATCTCCCAGCCCCCAGCCTTCTCAGAACGTATTCAGAAGTCCTGGACCCCTGCTTTGTCTTGTACTTGGCATGCCCAGAATCTCATGTTTTGCCAGCATTTGTCAGTGTCTTCACCTGGCACCTGGAATAGTGATGACTCATAAACCTACTAAACACAACTGAAGACATTTCTGCCTTTACTTAATGCATGGTTACTGGGTGTCTGTCTGCTGCACACCAGGCACTTAGATGCCAGGGCTCTGAAGGTGACTAGAAATGTTTCCTCCCCTCTGGGAGCCAGCTAGATGAAAGAGGACAGCAGGTCCACAGGTCACTGCAGGCAGCTCAGTGCCGCCAGAGGCATGGCCAGGGTCCCCCAGCTAGCTAACTTAGTCTCATTATTTTCTAGAATCTTCCAGGTTTTCCAGCCATCCCCCACCCTCAGTATTCCATTCACCAGCTGGCTCTTAGGGAGTAGCTCCTCCTTTTTTGATATGATTAGGCTTTGTGTCCCCACTCAAATCTCATCTTGAATTGTAGTTCCTATAATCCCCACATGTGGTGGGAGGGACCTGGTGGGAGGTAATTGAATCATGAGGGTAGCTTCCCCCATACTATTCTCATGAGAGTGAGCGAGTTCTCATGAGACCCGATGGTTTATAAGGGACTTCCCCCTTCACTTGGCTCCCATTTTTCTCTCTCCTGCTGCCTTGTGAAGAAGGACATGTTTGCTTCCCCTTCCACCACGATTATAGGTTTCCTGAGGTCTCTCCAGCCCTGCAGAACTATGAATCAATTAAACCTCTTTCCTTTATAGATTACCCAGTCTCGAGTATGTCCTTATAGCAGCATGAGAACAGACTAATACTTTTTTTTTTTTTTTTTTGAGACAGAGTCTTGCTTTGTCACCCAGGCTGGAGTGCAGTGGCATGATCTCGGCTCACTCTGCCTCCCAGGTTCAAGCGATTCTTCTGCCTCAGCCTCCTGAGTAGCTGGAACTACAGGCATACACCATCATGCCCAGCTAATTTTTGTATTTTTAGTAGAAACAGCGTTTCACCATGTTGGCCGGGATGGTCTCCATCTGACCTTGTGATCCGCCACCTCGGCCTCCCAAAGTGCTGGAATTACAGGCGTGAGCCACTGCGCCTGGTCCTAATACATCTTTTAAAAGGAATCCTCCAGAGATGCTGTGGTATAGAGACCACTCCCCTCTGGCAGGACCCAAACTTTAGAATCAAAGAATATGGCAAGAACTTGAAAGTGCTTATTTAAAGAACTTCCCATCACACGCACCCCTAACCCTGCCATCCCTGGCTCCCAGGACACCCATTCAATTTTTGCACACAGAAAGTATAGAAATAATAGTCTAATAATGGCTGTGTGGGGCTTCTCAGACGTGTTCCCTTGGGCCCCTAGGAGCTATGGCATGTGCTGGTTGCAGTCACCTGCTGTCTCCCCAGCTCAGCTTGTGCCTAATTCTTGCCAACTTTCTGCGCTGGACTGAATGACACTGGCCACCCCATTGGAAGGTAACTCTGACAGCACTTTAGCTTCCGCTTCTCTGAACGCTTTCAGAGCTGGAGGCAAGAGGGTGGCTCTCCCACCAGGATGGGATGGGCCACCCTGTGAAGTCTCACTGCTTTTCCATGGCCCATTCTCATCCTCGACCCAAAAAGAAAGCACGCTGTATGCTCCCAGCAATGGCAATCAATTCCTGACTGACATGAAAGCTAAATTAGGAGTAGGTTCCTTGGATCTAAGTAATATTTTAGTGTCTGAAAACTGTGTCCTCACCAAATAAGACAAGGAACTCTGTTTGTAGCCATGGTGTCGTATGCTGTTGCTGTTTCTTTTTAGTATTCCTAGCACCTGATACAGTGCTCGGGACATGGAAAATCCTCAGTAAAGGCGGTGTAGCATTTAATAGACAGGAGCTCAGGTTTGGAGACAGATAGAGCTGGGCCCCCATCCCAGCTTTGCAATACATTAACGGCGTGACCTTGGGCAATGCACTTACTCCTGCAGATGTCCCTTTAATAGGATGAGACTGTATTCAGCTACTTGACAAATATGTGCTAGGCTCAGAGTAGGGTTGGCAGACAAAAGCAAGTGAAAAACAAATGTGAGGCTGTCTTGTCCATTTTGTGCTGCTACAGCAGATTACTACGGACTGAGTAATTTCGAAAGAGCAGAGATTTGTTCCTTACAATTCTGGAAGCTGGGAAGTCCACAGCCCAGGGGCCTGTGTCTGGCGAGGGTGTTCTTGCTGTGTCCTCCCGTGGCAGAAGGCGGGAGGGCAGGAGAGTGTGGGAGGCGGAGAGGATCGTTCCTTTAGGAGGAACCCACTCCCACAAAAGCAACGTTAATCCTAAACCACTCATGAGAGCAGAGCCCTCCTGTCCTAATCCCCTCTTCAAGGCCCCACCTCTCAACACCGTTGCACTGGGGACTAAGTTTCCAGCACATGAACTTCGGGGCACACAGTCAGACCGTAGCATCTGATTTCAGATGAAGCCGGAGCGGAGCTGATAGGACTCATTCGTGGGTTGGATGTGGGGGTGAGAGAAAGGGCAGGGTCAGGAATGATGCCTGGGGTTCTGAGTCGAGCAACTGGTCAGATAGTCTGAAGAGGCACGTGTTTGGGGCGGGAGGACGGGATGTCCTCTCCGAGACAAGCGGAGTTTAAGGGCCAGTCAGGCCATTGAGGAGGAGTCTGTTGCTGAAGGCGAGAGGCGGCCATTCTGGAGGCATCAGTGTAGAGTTGGCATTTGGACCTTGAGATGAAAAGGATTACCAGTACCAGCGAGAGAGGAAGAGAGTCCATGGAAAAAGACCCTGGGAACTACTGATCACTGGGTGTCGGGCAGAGAGGAGCACACAGAAAGGGAGTGGGGAAAGCATGCAGGCTTGGGGTGCAAGAGTGTGTGGTGGGCATTAGGCTGGTGAGACCACTGGCCCGAGGACTCTGATGCCTCCTGACTCCCCAGAGGCACCCGCCGAGCCTCTCAGACTCATTACCACCATAAACTCAACAAACACAACAGAGGGCATAAAAAACATTCACTACGATCACTTCTCAGTAAGCCTAGATTTTTAGTGGGATTCTTGCCACTAAAATTCCAGAAAAAGTTTGCCAGAAAAAGTATTCAACACAAGTTTCTAGAAAGAAACTGCTTTTTGGCTCAGGGTACTGGAGAGCCAGGAGTGCATACCCCTCTCTAAGAAGGCATTGGCTTCCCCAGAAGCCCCCAGGCTCCGTGAGCAACTGTCCCATCCGCATCATCTGTGGCTTTCACTTCTGTAGTTACGCTGCCTCTGTCGGGAAAGCACAGCGTCACCACTTAGCTGTTATTAAACTTTCTAAGCTAAAAATGTGACTGGCTGCTATGGTCGAAATGGCCTGTAGAGTCTTGTGTGCCGCAAGACCTTTGTGCATCGGGTGGGGTGTCCCTGGTGTTAACGATGCCTCCCGGGCCCTGTGTCCTTCTTTGCTGATAGGCAATTTTCACTTCAGTCAAGAAGCTCAAGCCCACCACACATAGGATTTAGAGATCAACTTTCCCGGAGTGAACTGGAGGTTACAACCCAGAATGTGCTTTTATGCCCCTGGCTTTCACTGTCATGCCCATTTTCTGTAGTCATACATTGAGAAGAAAAGTGATTTCTCAAAATGACAGCCTCAAAGTCTTAGGGAATTCTGGCTGGCCCAGATTTTTTCTTTGTGTGCACTTCGTCTGATAGATAGACCTCTCAGTGGACAGACTGTGTAGATCAGTAACTTGGGGAAATGAGGTGTGTTTGTTGTTAATATTTAAACACTGAATTTTTTTCAAAGCTGTTTTAGGTTCACAGCAAAACTGAGAGGCAGGTCCACAGAGTTTTCATCCACTCCTGCCCTCCGCAGGCACAGCCTCCCCCATGAGCAGCATCTCTCATCAGAGTGGATACATTTGTTAGGATTGATGAACATGCATTCATACGTCATTATCATCCAATGTCCACGGTTTATTAGGGTTCGCTCCAGGTGTGGTACATCTGTGGCTTTGGGCAAACATATGATCAAACATATGATTGCATGTTTCTATCATTCTAGTATCACACAATTTCCGTGGCCCCGGTTATTCTCGGTGATACACCTGTGCAGCCCTCCCCAGCCCCAGGGAGGTTGTTTTTCTGCAGGGTTAGCTTCTCCAGCCATGAGGGGCCACAACACATGTTATCATGTAACTCACATGGGTACGCTCATACAAGTTATTCTCACTGAGTGTCAGCATCTTACAGGCCATCAGCTTATCACCACGCCAGGGAGCTCTGAAATCTCTCCTCAAGTCCTCTGCTCAGATCGGCTGTTTCTTGTCACTGCCACTGGCAGACAGCAATGATTCTCTTGCAGTTCCTGCGCCACCACTGTCATTCAGGTGTCCTCATGCCCTTTTCAAGAAAACAAGCTTGCATTTGACCAAAAACACAAGATGACCGATTTATGATACATGACCAGAAAGTCGTGAAACTGACTACCTTGCCTAACTTTATGTTTTGTTTATATGGCCACACCTCCTATAGCACTCCCGGTATGTTTTCAGGCACACAGAGGTAGATAAAATATGAAAGCTGGATACAAGTTCAGCTCAGAAAACAGCCCAAGGAGAAAGCTAAGTCCTATGCCCAGCGCTGTCCTCCCCGGCGGCCACAGGCTGTCTTGAATGAGCGGGTGTGTTAGAATGGCGCTCTCAATAGAAGATCAGCTGATCAGTAAAGAGAAGCCCTTTGCCATTACTTGCAAGGGAAAGAACAAATCTCCAATGCCTTGCAGACTTTGTGTGCAGATGTCCATGTGAGAGGCTGTGGGTCTGCACTTAGGGTACCATGGGTAAACGTGTACTGATGCCCGAATCGGACTCTCTGTCATTTACAAAGTGCCAGAGGCAGCATATACAGTGGGAAGACAGAGCAGCTGTGAAAGACCTGACCTCAAGTTCTAGTTCCACTGCTTCTGAGCTGAATGGCCCTGTGCAGGCAGCCTCCCATCTCTCTAAGCCTCAGTTTGTCCATCTGTAAAATAGGGCAACGGCCATCATTTTCTTCATAGGAATGTTTTGAGGCTCAGCGTTTTAATAAATGTGATTGATATCTGCTGAACAGTTGTAACTGAGAACAAAGGATTGTCCCTCTGTCCTGTCCCAGGCCCCTTGTGGCCTCCCTCTATGGACATTTACTATGCAAAGCAGGTCACTTGACTGACATCCAGCCCCAGCCCAGCACTTACCATCAAGTGATGATGGTTCCCTCTTAAGGGAAGGTTGTTCAGTGAATGCAAAGAGGTTTCTTTTACCAAAGAGGGAAATCTTTACTTTCCAAAAGAAATGGGAATTTTCCCTCCTATTTCTTTAACTTGCCATTTGAGAAGAATGCATACGCTTTGTTTTTTCAAAAGAGTTACATTCTGTTGAAAGAATGATGATGTCCTTGAACTGTCTTGAAGTGAAGCATTTCTCTGAGTGGTTAATTTGGAAATATGCAGAATAATGTCATTGTGTTATATCATCAGAGTACTGGGTGGGAGGGGTGGGGCTCCTGCAAGTAAGAAGACATTTTATTAATTGATTTCCACTTTTTTTTTTTCTGCCTCTCATTTCAGAACGGTTTGATCACCACTGTCCCTGGGTAGGCAACTGTGTGGGGAAAAGAAACTACAGATTTTTTTATATGTTTATTTTATCTCTGTCTTTTCTGACAGTCTTTATATTTGCATTCGTTCTCACCCACGTCATTCTTCGTAAGTATGCTGGCGAAATCAGATTACGTATGTAACCATTTGCCTGACTTTGGTTTTCTGGTTTATTTTGGTTTAATATTTTGATCACTTCGGGCTCTCTCTTTGCCTTTCTTTCTCCCTTTCCCCTCCTCACTTCTGGCCTGCCTCGCTTTCATTTCTCACCTTCCTCCAACCCTCCTCCGTCCCCATCATCCCCCACTCCCCACCCCATCTTTCACAGCATCTTCCAGGGGTCACACCTGGGCCAGGCTGCGCTCTCACCAACAGTACCTTCTCCTTGATACGCACGTCCCTATTCCAACGTCAGTGACCTCACTTTTTCTCCTGCCAAGGGGTCCCCTGGAAGACTCATCCCCACATTTGCATAAAGGACCATGAGCGGCAGAGATGACATTGAACAGTAGAGTTTCCTTCCTTACTGTGCTATCTCCTTATCCAAGAACAGTCACCAGCCACCCTCCCTAGAAAAGACGTCTGGGGAGAAAGACGAGGTTTTCTTGCACACAAATCTATATATGTTAAAAACATACATTGGGTAAGATGTTGAAGTATCTGCTAGAACATGGACTAACTTCCCCTGGCATATAAAGGAAGCAACTTTTATTAAAAATTAGATTTGGAAATAAATGATTTTAGTACATATTTGCCTAAGCAAATGGCATCTTTTCATTCCCCATTCTGAGGGTTGTAAGTTTGAATTTCTTTTGTCTCTTGGTCACTTTCCTACAATAGAAAATGATGAGAAGGAAGTTAATTTGCATTGAGCTATAAACAGAGGCCCTTAAACCTCCATCACAGTACCAATAGTGCATTAAGCACTAGCCTTGCCTCTTCTCCGCATTCCTGAAGTATAACACCTCATTAGCAAGTCCATAGCTTCTTTCTGGAATGTTCCGTAAGTATCTGAATGGAGGTTCCACTTTCTTCCCAGGCCACAGTGCTCAAACCACAAATGGTGTGGGCTCAAGCTCATATTAAGGGCACATCTTCCTCCCCTTCTCTTCTGGTGGAGTTTATATTGAGGGTGGGGGAAGTGGGGGGTAGGGAATGTTTTGCATTCATCCTTTTTGAATATTAGTCAAATTGGGCTGTTACATGGACCATCCCAAATTTTCATAGGTACTTTCAACCCTACTTCCCATTCTTTCTGACTATAATGTGTAATATGTGCCTGAGAGCCATAACTTGGTGTGCTTGCAAGAGGACAGTGGGCACCCGCCTTTGCCACACCAGCTGGGCAGGATGCAGACGGGGCACCCTCTCTATTTTCAGAGTCCTCCGAATGGCAAAAATGTGGCTAGGATCCCATTTGTGCATTAATAGACAAAAGAAGCAGAGAGAACAAGTAGGGGATCATATGTTATTTTCAAAGAAGTAATTGTTACACAGCTAGGGAAGAAATACAGGCCGATCCTCCAGCACACACGTGGCACTGAAAAGCAGTGTTTCAGCATTATTATTAGTATTATCAGCATTATTTTGAGATGGAGTGCCACTCTGTTGCCCAGGCTGGAGTGCAATGGCAGGATCTCGGCTCACTGCAGCCTCCGCCTTCTGGGTTCAAGCGATTCTCCTCCCTTGAGTAGCTGGGATTATAGGCGTGGGCCACCACACCTGGCTAATTTTTGTATTTTTAATAGAGATGGGGTCTACCATCTTGGCCAGGCTGGTCTTGAACTCCTGACCTTGGGTGATCTGCCTGCCTCAGCCTCCCAAAGTGCTGGGATTATAGGCATGAGCCATCTTGCCTGGCCTAGACGTAGATTTTTATATCACCTTTAACAACTTCTAGATGCTTTCGTGTATATTATGGGATGGTATTTATGGCCTTGCCCCTGCGTTGTGGATATCAAGGGCCAGTTGTCACATGCTTAGTCGTATACATAAACTCAAGGAACACACACACACATGCTCATGGACTCACAGACACTCTCACACTCACACATACCCTACATACCCACACTCACACATGCTAATCATACTCATACATACCAATACTCACATACACTCACATGCTGTCATGCTCGCTCACTCTCACACCATTGCACACTCAGATGCTCACACTCACATGCTGTCATGTTCACTCCCACTGCTGCACACTCACATGCTCTCACACACATACACTCGCTGACACACACATGCTCACACATGCTCACTCGCACTCACACTGGTGCACATTCACATACACACGCTGTAATGCTCACTAATACTCACTGTTGCACACACATACATGCCGTCATGCTCAGTCATACACTGTTGCACATTCACTCCCACACACATGCTGTCATGCTCACTCGTACTCACTGTTGGACACTCATACACATGCTGTTGTGCTCACCTATACTCAGTTGCACACTCACACGCTGTCATACTCACTCACTGTTGCACACTCATCCTCTCACACACTCACCGTTGCACTTGCTGACACACACACATGCTGCCATGCTCACTTGCACTCACACCATTGCACATTCACATACTCATGCTCTCACAAATTCACATGCTGTCATGGTCACTCACACTGTTGCACACTCACATGCTCACACACACACTGTCATGCTCACTTGCACTCACACCATTGCACACACATACTCATGCTCTCACAAATTCACATGCTGTCATAGTCACTCACACTGTTGTACACTCACATGCTCACACACACTGTCATGCTCACTTGCACTCACACCGTTGCACACTCACATACTCATGCTCTCACAAATTCACATGCTGTCATGGTCACTCGCACTGTTGCACACTCAGGCTCACACACATGCTGTCATGCTCACTTGCACTAACATCATTGCACACTCACTGTCATGCTCACTCATGCTCACACTGTTGCACACTTACATGCTGACACAGTGGCACTTGGTGACACACCATTGCACACTCACATACACACATGCTGTGCTCACTCACACTGTTGTGCACTCATGCTCACAATCACAGTTGCACTTGCTGACACACCGTTACACACACAAACACTCACATGCTGTCATGCTCAGTCACACACCATTGCACACACACATGCTCTCACACATACACACGGTGACATCTGCACCTGCCACCACACTCAGGTTGTAATGTGCATTTCACTTTCAGCTTCTCTAAGGTTTCACTCACCCTGGCTCCACCAAACTGGATTTTACTTAGTCTATGTTTAAGTATTGTTAATCTCTTCTTCTACACAAAAGTATTAAGAATTTACCTGCCTGTAAGTTATTGGAATGCAAAAGCAAATAAAGCTTTTCCTTTTCTCTTGTTCGACACCCCCTCCTTAATGACCCTCATGACACGACCCCACCACCCTATCTATCCACCCTATGTGATGCTTCAGGAAGGGCACAGGGTTTACATGGCTCCTGTTACCCACTAAGCCTCAGAAGACATTGGCACAGGCAGAGGGGAGAGCTGACATCTGAGTCTCACTCCCGGGTCCTGGGCTCTTAGGGGAAGGACTGGACTTCCTTCTGTGGCCTCCAAGATTCCTGGGAAGGCAAAGTATGGATTTCCTTGGAGAGGAAGGAGAGTTTAGGCAAGCCGCACAATTTGGGTGCAGTAGAGAAAGAGAAATCATTTCTTTTGGTTCCTCATCTGCCTCAAGGCTGCGTTTGCTCCATGCGGCTGCGCAGGTGCTTGCCACTGTGCCCTTTGGGGCTGGCAGAGATGGAGGAGGAAGGCTTAAGCACCATCCCTCCTGATTAGTGTTCCATGCAGCTCCTCCCCACAGCCTTTCCCACCCACTGTGTCCCACAGCTCAGACACATGGGCCATGGGCACAGAGGTAAAGGGACCTTGGGAAGAATAGGGAGCCAAGCCACTCTTCACCCTCCCAGGTGGTCTCCCATAGTGGGACACATGGGGACACAGTGACCACTCACCCCCTGCCACCAAGTCCTACAGTGCACCTGTGCCTGCGGTCAGATGCCACAGGGACACCATAGCACCCATCTATTGTATCATTTCCTTGCTGCCTGAGGGCTGGATTATGTCCCCTGAGGCTCAGTGGCTTCCCACGGCACAGAGGGACCTGGCACTGCTACCCCAAGATGGGATTGTTAAGACTTCCTCTGTATTTTTATTTTTAAAAGTATGATGTCAATGCATAAAATAAAAACTGCTTTCTGTCAGATGCTTCTTTATTCAAGCCCCTAAAGAAATGTCTTCTTGCATAAGACAGCTCATATTAAAATGTCTAAAACCCAGAAGAAGTCTAGTAAATTTCAGCTTTATGACTGTTTACTCTGGATACAGAAAAAGAAGTCTTTCATATGCTGTAGCCTAGTTTATAGAACTTCCAGGGTCAAAAGTTAACAAATTTGGGAAAACAGAAGAGAAAAGATAGCATACAGTATTCTGTTTTCCTATTAAAATGAGAAAAACAAAGGAGTAATCAGAACTATAATTTATGGGAAAGTGCGCAGACATCCATCTGCTTTTATTGAAAAATACCCTGCAGATGTTGGGCCCAATTACGAATCCTCCATTTTCTTGGTGAAAAACTTTAGTGGAGCCTCAGTCTCTGATCAGTAAACTCGGTGTCGTAGCACTTGCAAAATATGATTTAATTGATCTTTAGCCACCTATTACTTTTATGTAGATGAGAGAGCGTTCAGCATGAAGGCTGTTTATGTCTGCATACTAAATTTTGGTTTCATTCCCACAGGTTCCCAGCAGACAGGATTCCTAAATGCCCTTAAGGACAGTCCTGCAAGATATCCTTTGTGGTGGTTCTGTTTTCACAATGCTAACGTGTTGAGTATCTGGCTGACCTTCTACGTGCTCACCCCCTCATCTTCTGGCCTTGCTTCTCATATATCTTATTCCAGAGAACTCCCTCATATGCACTGGCAGGAGTAGCAGCTTCGGAATACTTCCATCCCTGAGTGACTCAGCCTGTTGAAATCCAAGTGCTCTTTATTTAGCTAGGAAGCCAAGTATGAATTCTTACCCACCTCCAGAAATCAGCATGGATTTGTGTTCTGCCAGGTCAGTTTGGGGAGAAGTAGGGCTGTGGGCTGCAACTGATCTCATTTTGATCGCCAGGTTGTCCACACAGAACATTTAGGTACGCCCACGTGGGGGTCGCGTCCTGATATGCAGTCTCCAGGTGCAAATCCCCAGACCCCTGTGTATCCATTCTGTTGGGGTTACAGTTTGCCATTTAGATCACTATATTATTTCCAGGAACAGAACACCCTTTTATAACCCTGGATAGGTTAAAGATGGTCAATCTCAAGTCATTTGGATGAATGAGGATGGTTTCCCAACCTCCCAAGCATAGTATTTTGAATCTTGAAAGAAAAACATGCACCCATGAAGTGCTTGAATGAGATCTCATCCTTCCCGGGGGTCACAGGCTTTATACAGAGTGGTGTGGCATCAGCCCATGGGTCCCCCTGACCTAGCTTGTCAGGGACCCAGTTCTTTTTCTTCCTCATATAATCAGGTAAACTAGACTTGAACTCCTCATTACTCTCTAGAGTGATTTTTATCTTGAGGTAGGAAATCCTTCGTTTTGTTTTGTTTTGTTTGAGACTAAGTCTCACTCCATCACCCACCCAGACTGGAGTACAGTGGCGCCATCTCGGCTCACCACAGCCTCAGCCTCCCAAGTAGCTGGGATTACAAGTGTGTGCCACCATGCCTGGCTAATTTTTGTATTTTTAGTAGAGATGGAGTTTCACCATATTGGCCAGGCTGGTCTCAAACTCCTGACCTCAAGTGATCTGCCTGCCTCGGCCTCCCAAAGTGCTGGGATTACAGGCATGAGCCCATGCCCAGCGAGGTAGGGAATTCTTAAAAAATGAAGAAATTTAATATGATATATGTATCATGTTCTTAAAGTCAGCCTGCCATGTCCTGTGTGTTTGAGAGGGGGGAGGTATTTAGATAGATCTAAAAACAAATGTGTTCCTATAAACATTATATGTCTCCGTAATAGATGATATCTCTTTTTCTGGTACCTCTGTGTTTATGGGCAGCATAGGATGTTGGCTACAGGTCCAGATTCTGTAGTCAACTAATACTTTTTAAACTCAGATTTCTACTGTGGAATAGGACTGGGACATGTGGAAGATGTACAAAGGTACAAATGTACCTATTCAACAGATAGGTCCTGTCTTCTATTAATGATGTGGGAAGAAGTTGACTGGGAGGAAAAGTGGCCCAGGGAATGAATGAGACCATCAATACTCGTGCTATTAAGAACAGGTCCAGTGAGAAATGTCCTCCATTCCTCTCCCAACTCCACCAGGGACGACATTCCCCCACTGTCACCTCTCTGTGCCCTTCTATTTTCAGGGAACATTGTTTCCACAAAGCTCTTAGCCACACCGCCTCTTCCTTCCTAAAGAAAAGGCTTGCCTATGTCTCATAAGGAACCAGTTGTGTCGTGAAAGCATGCTGGTCACATTGTTTTATAAATCTGTCCCAGAACTGGCATTGGGGTCCAGAGTGCCACCTGGAAGGTTTTCTGGAGCCTCACATTTGTGGGAGCTTCAGCCACCTCCCCTCAATTCTGCTCTAGCACCTGTGCCTCCCTGAGCTCCTGTGTGTGTGCAGGAGGCCTGGTGCACATTTCAGACAAATATCCATGACAGGAGTGCCTCTCAGCTGGGAGGGGGAAGCGCTTCGTCGCTGCTGAGAAAGGCTGACCTTGGAGCCTGGCCATTCCAGATGCTTTGTGTCCGGCCTGCTGGCGACCTGCTGCTCCGTGTGTGTCCACTTCAGGTGGAGCACGGAGGGGCTGTGTGTGGAGTGGCCTTGTTGTTGCTGCCTGGTCTGTAGCAGAGCTCCCGACACACCTCCCAAGTCCTGCATCTTATCCTATCCAGATCCCAGAAGGACTCTCATTAGAGACCAAGAAGGCAGTCGTGAACTGGGGTCAAATCTTTTAATGCTCGCAATTAATTATGAGGTCCGGAGTCATTTCTTAACCCTTTTGTGTCTCAGTTTTTTGACCCGCAATAGTCAACCACTGTGTACTTGACAATGATATGCTGACAAAGTCAGTTATTCAAGAAATACAGGAGAGACAGCTCCAAAGCACGGCTTCCAGGCATAGCCAGAAGGATTTCAAAGAGACTCTGCCAGACCTTCTTTGAGAGCACACGTCTGCGCGGCGCGTGCTGCGGCTGGGCTGACAGTCTGCAGAACCAGGAACACGGTATCCCCCGAAGGGCACAGACCAGGGCTGCTGTTAGGAAGGAAGCCTGGCAGTACCGTGCTGGCCATGCCAGGAGCCAGCGGCAGGAAGGGGTGCGGGGAGGGAAGGGAAGAGGAAAGATGCTCTTACTCAGGCCAGAGCAAACTTCATTTTCCCCTAAAAATCATTCTCAAATGGAGGTAAATAGTGTTCCCTATTGGCTCAGTTTTTGAAAATGTGTAGAAGTCTCAGCTGCTGCCTTTCCAAGTAGTGTTTCCGCATCTGGGTGCTGACTCTCCGCCCACAGCTCTCTGCTCCCCTCCCCGCCCTTCCCCAGCTGGAGTTCCTGGCACCTCTGCCATGCTCGGGGCTGGTCAGCCGCAGCCTGCTGACTGCTCGCAGATCCCTAAGCACCCAGACGCCCGCCGCACCACCAGTCAAGGCCTTCCAGAGTGTCCGCGCCTGGTGCTGCTGCCCTGAGCAGCCAGGTCGTATCCCTGAAGGCAGCACACATCCCTCGTCGCACACCCCGTGGGCTCCAGTCCGGTGGGCTTGGCTTTCTCTGCTCCGGGTCCCGTGAGGCTGCAGTTGCGGTGTCACCCCCCAGAGTTGTACCCAGAGGCTCTGGGGAGTCCTCTTCAGGCGGGCTCAGGTTGTTGACTAGGTTCATGAAGTGGGGGGCTGAGGGCCTCGCTTCCTTGCAGGTTATAGGCAGGCTGTTCTCAGTCTAGAGGCCTCCACCGTCCCTGCCCCAGGCCCCTCCATCCTCAAACCCAGACGCTGGGTGGAGCCCTTCCTACGCCCTGCGCCCCTCCTGCTGCTCCTTCACCCCACTTTTCCACCTCAGCCCGGAAACCTCTCTGCTTCCAGATATTGGCCCTCAATCATATTTGAGGCTAATCTCCCAGCCCATCTCATGGTGGATAACCCTCATCGCAACTGCATACTCCCTGTGTCATGTTGGGTAAAGTATTCAGGGGTGCCAGGAAAGAGGCTGGGTACATCTCCAGGGAGGCCGCCATTCTGCCCACCCCAGGCCGTCAGACAGGAGGTACCCCAAGAAGCAGGCACTGGAATGCAGGTGGATTGGAGAGGGATTCCGTCTAAGCCCATCCGTGAAGCTCACTGCAGGCCAGGTCACTTGATGGATTTAAACACGCGCGCACTCGCGCGCACACACACACCTACACGCACACACACAGCGCTGTCTATCATTAGATTTGTGTGTGTACTTTTAAGCCCTCGTATATATATGTGTACATAGCTATAGATGCACACACACACATATATGAGGATGTATAAGTGTGTGTGTGTCGTGCATGCACACACACACATCTGTATCTGTATGTCTGTCAATAGGTAGAGATGCACACAGACATGTCCTCCCTGGAGTTCCGGCTGGAAGTGCTCGCAGGCTGCCTGGAAGGCCCTTGCTGGCCCACACCGCTCGCAGGGAGGCTGCTCATCCTCGCTAGCTCCTACTGATTCGCTCCCCACTTGGTCTTATGGCACCTCCATGGACCCAGGGTTTTCTGATGGGCTCCTGCCTGCGAAAAGGAGACTTAACTCTAAACCCAAAATACCTCAGGGCAACCAACAAAAAGACCCTGACAAAACCCCATTCCTCTGGGAGAAAAGTGGGGGCCAGAAGCAAGGTCCGGGAAGAACCAGCGACGCCTCCATTCCCAGTTCAGGAGAAGTGAGCAGTGCCGGTAGTGCCCCAGCCTGGGTCTCCTTCGTCCTTTTTGGAAGCAGGAGTGAGTTTCAAGAACATTAGACACACACCCACATTGCAAAGCAAGGTGCTGGGTGCTTTAACGTGCAAAGCACATCAGCATTTCTTCTGTGTGTCACTGACACCCCTCCCCTCGTCAGCATTGTGATTGCCTAAAGCTTCTCTGTTCAGATGGGGGCTTTCTGTTTGAAATATGTGCTTTGGAGGAGTTCCCCCTCCAGTGAGTCTATGAAGAAGGATTGCACGGATGATTTATCCCAACTTTGTGTTCCAGAAGGATAAGCATGCTTTGGGTGCTGCGGGCTTGCCGTGTCTTTCTGAAAAAGCATTTGCTCTGGTTCATAGAGAACCATGTGCTGAGTAGGGCTGGATCCCATCAGCACGCCTGTTGGCATTTTTGGTGCCTGCCTTTCCCCTGGACACCTGTGACTTTGGAGGTGGCATAGGGATGCCAGCGGGAGCTTACACAGTGAGGCCCTGTGGCTCCTGAGGAAGAGTGTGGCAATCTCAGCAGCCACTCAGGGTTCTGGCCCTCAGGTCACAGTGACTGGGGTGCTAGCAAGGCAGATGGGTCCTGCTTGTCAGTGTGGTAGGGGATTCTAGCATCAGAGAAATGCTAAACTCAGGACCTCCCAGCCCCCTTCCACGGCCGAGATCCTGAGAGCTTGAGAGTGTCTGTTGGGGTGGTTGGTTTATGATGGATGAGTTTGATCTGGGGCATGCTCATTAAAGCTGTCCTTTGATTCATGGACAGCTGCCCACAATGCATCCTCTCTAGACCTGTACTCCATCCAGAGCAAGAATCTAAAAGTCCCTAGCTCTTAGAACTGAAGGAAGTTTCCCAGCTGAATTGCCTGAGCACAGGACTGGCATCTAGTGGACGCTTTGCGAGTGATCTCTGCAGCGTTTTCTCGGGCAAGGCAATAACTTGTATTTTCACATTTTTGGTGACCTCATATCTCATCTGACCATGCAATAAAAAATATTTTGATGAGAAATAAGGCCACAGGCAAAGGTTTCTCACAACAGATCTATAAAATATCCAACTAAAAGCAACAGTGTCATTGAGGAAGTGAGAGAGATTAGAAACAAAAATGGCTAATACACAACCATCCGAGATGCCTGAGCAGAAATATCAGTGTAATGATGGAAGCATTGATCAACTAAAAGCTCTTTATCAGGCCCACGTAAAACCCAGCAGAACTTTAGGAGAAAAGAATTGAGCAGCTTCTACTGTAAGCCCAGACTGGGTGGTATCTAGTGCCAGGGTGTGGCCAGCCCGGGAGGAGAGGGAGGGAGGAGAGGGAGGTGGAGGCAGGGGAGTAGGGGAGGCCCTAGATGTCTGTGGATAGAACGGCTCATTTTCAGGTGCTCGGCAGGCCCCTTCCCAGTCTGCACTGTCAGCCCTGCCAGGGGTGAGAGATAGCACAGGGTGCCCGCTGCTGGGATGCAGCCTTGGAGGGTGCACTTCCGGCTTAGAGTCCATAGTTGGTCCTCCCTCCCTCCTCCTCCTCCCTTCCCACCTCCCATTGCCTGCACCAAGCTCCATTTTCTCCCTTTCTTCTTTGCATCTGAGAAGCAGAGGCAGTGGGGAGGGGGTTCTCAGGGCCTGCGGCAGTGAGGTGGCTGCCTCATACCTTGGACAAGAGCCCCCTGCCCTTCCCGAGGGACAGAGACGAATGGAGAGACTTCTCAAAAATAAAAGATAAAAAAAGGGGGGGAGCAGGGCACTCTGTCCACACAGCCAGGCATGTTCAAACAAAGCAGATCCACTCAGCAACTATTTCCTGTAAAATCATTTTACTCAACATCCACCATGGGCAAAACCTGCCAGGTGGGGCCTGGAAGGGTGAGGGTGGGGAGACGGAGCAAGCGCACAAATGCACAGGCTCGCCCTCTTCTGCCGGCAGCTGCTGCTGCACAGAGCTGGGTTCTCGCTAGGATTCCTTATGCAGAATAAGGCTTAGATGCCAGGAAAAAGACACAGCCTGGCCTTGAGGTGGGGCATCCTGCAGGGACATGTAAACAGGCGGTTCTCAGGGCTGTGGGACATGGGTGGGTTCTAGTGGGGGACATGGAGGGAAAGGTCCCAGGCAGTTCCCACAGTGGGAACAGGGCCTGGAGGATGGTACCAGGGGCTATCAGGAAGGAACAGCCCATCTGCAGGGCCACAGCTGGCATCCTGGCATTGTGCCCACTCCACATTGGGCAGGGTGCCCACCAGGGCTGGGCATCAAAAGGAGGCAGGGCTCCCCATCAACATGTGGTCTGCCCTGCATCGTGTGAGCACATCGGTGCACTTACACACCCAAGCGTGTGACGGAAAACCGGAGCTGCTGTGACAGCTAAACCCCAATGGGATGAGGGCAGGTGTGACAGTGTTGAAGACTAAGGAGGTGGGGTCCCTTCATCCCCTGCATGCTGGTGGGTGAATGACATCATCAGAGCTGGGTTGTGATGCTTGTTTTAAAGAACACTTATCTATTTTATTTATTTATTTTCGAGATGGAGTCTCGCTCTTGTCACCCAGGCTGGAGTGCAGTGGCGATATCTCGGCTCACTGCAACCTCCGCCTCCCAGGCCCAAGCTATTCTCCCGCCTCTACCTTCCAAGTAACGGAGCTCACGACCACACCTGGCTAGTTTTTTGTGTTTTTAATAGAGTTGGAGTTTCACCATGTTGGCCAGGCTGGCCTGACGTCAAGTGATCCATCTGCCTTGGCCTCCCAAAGTGCGGGGATTACACGCGTGAGGAACTGCACCTGGAAAGAACATTTATCTTGCATCAGAGGACACAACAGAATGAAACAGTTGTTTGTAGAGGAAAAGCCTGGCGGGGTGGGGGGGAAGTTAGTGGCAGGGGACAGCTCAGTAGGGAGAAGGAGGGCAGTTGGATCCGTGCCTGGGGAGGGTGAGGGTGGAGGAGGAGGAGCGTTCTGCCGATGGAGCCCAGGAGAAATGGCCATGCTGGACGGGGATACAGCTAGTGCTGGTTTAGGGAGCAATGGTGAGTTCTGTCTAAGATATGTTTATAAAAAGAAACTGAAAGTTAACACACTTCGCCGGGGGTGGTGGCTCACGCCTGTAATCCCAACACTTTGGGAGGCCGAGGCAGGTGGATCACGAGGTCACGAGTTCAAGACCACCCTGGCCAATATGGTGAAACCTCATCTCTACTAAAAATACAAAAACTATCTGGGCATGGTGGCATGTGCCTGTAGTCCCAGCTACTTGGGAGGCTGAGGCAGGAGAATCGCTTGAACCCAGGAAGAGGAGGTTGCAGAGAATGAAGATCACGCCACTGCACTCCAGCCTGGGTGACAGAGTGAGACTCCGTCTCAAAGAAAAAAAAACAACACATGAGTGTCTCCATTGGCCTCGAATGACCTGAAGTTCCTCTCTTTAGTTACCTGCATGTAATATGAAAGGAGGAAAACAAAAATCAGCTGCCTGTCAATGAGAATGTCGCAGCCTCATAGGAAATGTTACGCGTCAGGCGCCTGTGAGGGAAGCCATGTGGTGATGCCGCCTGGGCTTCTCCGTTTCTCGGAGGCGGAAACCCTCAGGAACATGTGCTGGGGAGCCCCGGGGCCCTGGGCCTCCCTGAGAAAGACCCTGAAAGGTGAAGCCCTGCTCATCCACAGTTATTTTAATGTAACATAGCATTAACATCCAATTAGAGGGATTACAGCCATTTTTAATCATGACTTATTGTTCAACTCTCTCAAAATATGGAGGGTCTTCTGTGGTTGGTAAATCAAATGCTAATTGATTCTCCATTTGCGGAGGCTGAGACAGAAAGCATTTTCATCCCCAAGTTCCCTTCACTGGATACTGACCCATCTGAAAAGCACGATGGCCTAATACGCGTCATCCGTTTTAATGGAATGTGGTAGGAGGCTTCAGGTTGGCCCACAGAAAGGACACCACAATGGGAAAATCACAAAGGCAGCACAAGTCTTTGTTAACCTGCCCATCCTGATACCTACTGATCCTCAGAGAGACCCCAGAAAGTAGGTAGGACAGGTGCCCCTAGGCTGCTTACAGCTGCAGCTATGCTGAGAAGTTAATGACTTGCTCAGGGGTGTCCAGAGCTAGAGCCCGGTTCTCCCAACTACTGCCCCTCTCTCTCGCCAGGGGACTGAGGTACTTCCTGCTGCCCCTAACCAGTCCCACTGAGGGAGGGTCAGGAAAAAAAAGCATCAGATCATGTCTCATAAGATCACAGGGTGGGGAAGAGGTTGTTTGTTTTTTCAAATCAACCAAGTCCTACAAGAATGTATGATCATTGTAAAAAATCCCCAATGGTCCAGAAATACAAGAGTGAAAACGGAAGTGCTGGTCTTGGCCCTTCCTCCGTTATGCTGTAGGAATCCTTGCCGGGTTTGGTGTGTCCTTCCAGATGGTCTTAGAGTTTGAATACATCCGTGCACATGGTACACATATGCTGATATGGGGGTGGGAGGACTTGTACCTAAAAAGGACCCTTCTTTTTGCATGGTTCCACAATTTGATTTTTTTAAATATTTCCTGGAGACGTTTCCATGACAATATATAGATCTACCTCATTCTTTTTTTAAATTACTTCATAGAACTCCAAAGTGTAGATGAGCTGTAGTTTAGTCTCCTGTTGATGGATATTAGATTTCTTAATTTATTTGACTGTTCATGAAATGAAGTAGTGAATTTTCTTGTGTGTATCTCTGTGTGCACGTTACTCTGTCACTAGAACTGACAGGTTGTGGCATCTCTGAGTTGAAGCAAAGCACTTTTAAGTGTTGATACACACACCAAATGCTCCTCGTAACAGACTGGGCCAGCCCGTGCTCCTGTGTCCCCACACATTTATGGCACTGGCTGTGAACAGTCTTGTCATTTTGGCCAATTTGATGAAAAGAAAAAAAATTACATTGTTTTAATTTCCATTTCCTGGATAATAGATTGTACCTCTTTTTACACTCGTGTGCGTCTTTTTTTCTTATCACAATGTATATGTCCATGTATCAATTGGGTTATTTATTCTTTTTCTATGAACATGTAGGAGTTCTTAATGTATTCTCAGTAACAATAATAATCTCTTAAGTATCCTTTGCCAATCTCCAAATCCAACATTTAACTTTACTTTTTTACACAAAAATGTTTATTAATGAACACAACATGACTCCTTGGTTTGTGTCTCATATCCTCACCCCAAAGTTACATGAATGTTTCCTTAATTTTCCTCAAATACCTTTATATTGTGTTTCCTACATTTGGTGCAGTAACTTCTCTATCAGGTGGTTTTGTGGATCTGATGCAGGCTGAAGTTCGAACTTGATTTTTTCAAAGTGTTTAATGAAGTGTCCCAACGGCACTTACTATTTTACTATTCTATTCCAGCAGGTCTCAAATGTTTTGGTGTCAAGACTCCTTTACACATTGAAAAATTATGAAGGACCCCCACAGAGCTTTTGTTTGTATATATTTTGAAGGTAGGTAGAGAGATAGATGGCAGATAAATGATAGATAGATAGATAGATAGATAGATAGATAGATAGATGATAGAGTTATTCATCATGTTGGAAATTACAACTCAAAAATTTTAAAACACAAGAATGCACAGGCCCACATTGTATTTGAATGACAACAAGGGTGTCATCTCCCTGCCATTCTGGAATCCAGGGAATTCTGGACATGTAACATATGTGGTTCTGTGATCTCTCACCTTTTATGATCCTCCAAATACTGAAGCACCCTAACCATTCTGGCCTGCACAGCCTTCTTCCCTTACATAGCTTCCTGCTGCAAACAGAGCCCCTATTCCCTTAGGGCAGGAAGCCCCTGTTCCTCAGTGCGGGGCTGGGTGCATAGTAGGACACAGAGCCAGCACTTCTGGGATTCGGCAGGAACTCGAGAAAAGGGTCTCTGCAGAGCAGCACTCTTCAGAGCTTTTCGATTTCATAAACGTTTAGGGAGTCCCTCAGTGTGCAACCTCTTAGGCTAGGGCTGTGGGGAATTTGAAGCCATCCCTCTGGCCACAGTGGGGACAGACTGTCTTAGCAGGGATTGTGGGGGAGACAGAGGCACAGCGGTAGCTGCTATGATTTGAAACCCGTCCTCGATGGAGTAAACAAAGTCCTGGCTGCTTATGAACTTGGCTTCCAGTAGTTGGATTGTTTCCTCTCCTTTCTCTTTCTAAAAAAAACAAGGAAAAGAAACAGTAAATGGGTTTCAATACCTTTAAAATAAATTTCTATTTCTTGATCTTATTATGGCATAGATATTTTCAGCATATAGCTAGTGGGCCAGTGAGGAATGTGTGTCTGGATATTTGTGTCTGAGTCTGAGGGTGGATGTGAAAGGGAATGAACCATGTAAGCCGCTACAGGTTCACGAATCCTGGACTAGGAACGCCCTACCTCCCCCCAGCAGAGGCTGGGGTCAGTCTAGGACCACCTGCCCCTTGGCAAGAATTAGGAAAGGGACCAGCCCAAGGCTCTTCTGTCATCCCAGGAGAGCAGAATTCCAGTGTTCAAGTCCTGGCTCTGCTATTTCTCAAGCAAATTACTTCATTGCTTTCTGCCTCAGTTTCCCTATCTGTTGAGGGGGAGTCACACTTCTCCCTGGGTCACTCTGAGGTTTAAGCAGAACAGTACCTGACACATCCCAGTGATGCCAGCCACTGTTATGAATGATGATGATGATGGTTCCATAAGACCTACTGTGGGGGAGTGACTGCTGGGTCCCAGGGTGAGGCTCGCGCAAGCAGGCTGCATGTTGTGTCTCACGTCGTACGTTGGATTCATGTCATTTTGATACAGCTGCAAGCTGAGAGTGGGACTGCATTCTGCAATTTATAAAATGTTTCTAAAGCACATGAGATATTAACAGAAAAGCTGCCCAGGCCAGGTGGCTCACGCCTGTAATCCCAGCACTTTGGGAGGCCGAGGCAGAAGGATCACCTGAGGTCAGGAGTTCAAGACCAGCCTGGCCAACATGGTGAAACCCCGTCTCTACTAAAAATACAAAAATTAGCTGAGTGTGGTGGCGGGCACCTGTAATCCCAGCTATTCAGGAGGCTGAGGCAGGAGAATTACTTGAACCTGGGAGCCAGAGGTTGCAGTGAGCTGAGATTGCACCACTGCACTCCAGCCTGGGCAACAGAAATGAAACTCCATTTCAAAAAACAAAAAAATAGAAAAGCTGCATTTTTTGTTGTTGCTGTAAACCTTTAGAATTCTGTATCTGATGGCTGCGATGCCTCCTGATGAGAGAAAGAGCTGCATCCACTTTCAGTCTGGGATCCTCACTGCTTGTACATGCCAGGTTTCATACGGTTCATACATCAGAATGTTATATGGATTTTGACGTTGCCATCATTCTACCTGGATCGTAAACTCTTGGTGACACATAAGTATTTCTGGGATTGCAGTTTGGCTCTTCATGTATTATTCAGTAAATGAATCTGGTTCTGTTCGTGATGCTTTTCTCCCCTTGGCTATTGTTTGTTTCCGTTCCATGTGTCCCCTCCTCTTTCTGTCTCTTGTCTTTTCCTTCTGGCCGGTCCAAACCCATCACTAGTGTCACCTCCCTCACACAACCCAGCTTTCCCGACTTGGTCTTCCCACTGGCTGCCTCAATGGGTTCCCTGGACTCCACTCCACCTCTTCTTTCCAGCCAGTACTTGACCTGAATCCAATGGGAGTTGGCTTCCCAGTCTGTCCCCTCTTGGCAGGGGGAAAGTGGGTAGGCAGAGGGGCCTCTTTAGCCCTGTTCTGTGGGAAGGCATTTGAGAAAGAGACCATGTTTGGGCCACCATCCATGTGTCCCCATGTGCACACAGAGCCCCCACCATAGCCATTTGCCCAGTAGGAGTTGCCCAGGCTGGCGACAGCTGTGGGTAGGGGTTTGCTTCCCTGCATCTGGTCCCTACAGCTCCCTGCTACTGTCTCCTCCTAGAGCAGACCTAGTGGTTTGTGCCATGTTGAAAGACAGCCAAAAGGCAGAAGGCCATTCACTCCTCCTGTTGCATGCAGCCCTGGTGGTGGCACTGGTTAACCATGGCCCAGTGGATCACGGCACTGCACTGGTCATGTGCTCAGCCCTCTGGTCTAAAGATGAACTATCTCCAGCCTGGAGAAGATAATCACTGCTGGGTTCCGGCGTGATCTATACGGCGTTCATCCTTAGATGCATTAGGAGAGCACGAGCGTTTATTTCTCCAGCCTGTAATGTATCCACAGGGGACGCGACATGTATGTGTGAACTCCCAGACCCAGGATGAATGGATTTTTCCCCCCGAGAAATATCTGTATCTTGTAAATAGAATTTTGTAAACACTTGTGGGACAGAAAAATTCTCTGACCTTTTCAAATTGCCACACTTTTGGGTGATGGATCTCATTTGCTGAAGAGCACCAAGCTTTTTTCCTGTGTGTTGGATACCTCTTGGGGAACTCTTGACTTCCTCTCTCTATGTCCTGTGAGAACTCGTGGTTTCCAGCTGGCTATGGTCAGGAGTTGTTGACTAAAGGGCTGGGAAAACTCCCCCAGGTAAAAATAACCCTCACCCTGACATCACTCTGAGAAATGCCGCCCCCGGTTCAGGGGCTGATCTTCTCCTTCACCTTCTCTGTAAGCAGAGAAGAGGCCGTCCGCTAAGGCAGAGGGCTTTCTGGGCCCCAGAAGCCATTCTCAAGGCAGAAGCCTGTTGGCACTGCAGTCCTCAGTATTCAGAAGCCAACATTAGAGTCTGTGATTGATGTGCCAGTCAATACGTCATCCTTTCACCCAGAGCCTGAGCTGCAAGCAACGCAAAGCGGGGTGCCTCCTGACTAGGCTGCCACAGCCATCGGCCCCACAGTGAGGCACAGGAAAAGGTGAAGGTGCAGGAGACGTCAGAGGAAAGAAGTGAGTGGGTGACACCCAGGGAGCCCTCCAGTCCTCACGGTGCCACAGAGGCTGCTCTGTGTTGGGGAAGGTGACACCCCTGCCCTGACGGAGGGCTCCCTCGGGTTACAGGGAATTCCTAGAAGAGCAGGAAGTAAGGCAAGGCCAGGCTAGAGAGAGGCCAGCAGCCTGGTTTCTGCGCCCGGGGGTGTTTCGGTCCTAGGCCTTCATCACTTCCGCCCCTGGGCGGTCCCTCACTTCCGCCCCTGCGCGGTCCCTCACTTCCGCTTCCTCCTTGACTCGCGTCACCGTCCTGGAGGCCGTGGTGTGTTTCTTCTCTGTCTGGTCCATCGTTGGCCTCTCAGGATTCCACACCTACTTGATCAGCTCCAACCAGACGACGAATGAGGACGTAAGTTCCTGACCACATGGGACACGGGCGTGTTCTTGGGTGTTTAGCAATGGAGGATGGAAAGGAAAGGGGGGGCAACTTCTCCCATGCATCCCGTTCCGGATGTGAGCCCCTGGGAACGGAGGCGGCGCCGTGGAAACTTCTCCACAGGCCGTTCTGCACGCTTCTCTACTGGGAATCTCTACATTCGCTTTTTTTTCCAACCGCATTCATTAGTTACTAAGATTGGCCAAATGACACCTATTGCTGACCCTGAAGAGAGCGTTCTTTCTATTCCTTTAAAATGGTTTCCTAAGCATCTTATCACACTTCCCCTGATAGACAGAGACCATGGCGGGCCGACATCAAGTGAATGTTTGAGTCTGCCTTTCATATGTAATGTCTCTGCTTACTTTTGAGGGGAAATTGCCCTGACCCAAAATTTAAGTTTTCATCCAGGATTATCTACCTGTACTTAATGCAGCTGGAGAGGAAGTATAAAAGCAGGAAACATAACGTTAGAGAAGTTTCTAGAGCAGCGTGGTCCTCTTTGCTCTTTGTACTTAGATTTTGACAGATGTCTCTGTCCACATGTGAATTAAATGTCTCAGGATAAGTCCGGTTACCTTAAATAAAAGCTTGAGAAAATAGACTGTGATAAGACACATGAGATAAGAGAATATTAAGACAGTTATTTGTACTTGGTAGCTACAAATATTAGAATGTGCAAAACAGACTATTTTGGTCACAAGAAGAGGCTGAATTATTTCAGTCTGTAAATTGGGAATCAGCAGAACCATTTCACCTACCATTCATTGAATTGTTATTTAGGGCACTAAATGTGAGTATGAAAAAAATCTCTGCTGGTGCATGTGAGATGGCCTTTTGTGCCATGTAGTACAAATACAAGACCATTGTCCCTGAGAATGTTATTCTTTCCCTAATCTCAGTTGCTATTTTAGGACATTTCCAAGTTTGGAGTAAATGCCCATTTTCTTTAAGAAAAATACCTCCCTTTCTGTGGATTAAAGAAGATTTGCATTCTTTATGGGCTTCTCATGGTCCAACTCACCTCGACTGTGCATTGGTATGAAGGATATTGCATGTTACTGACTTTCCTTTTCTTTCAGATTAAAGGATCCTGGTCAAATAAAAGAGGTAAAGAAAACTACAATCCCTACAGCTACGGAAACATCTTCACCAATTGCTGTGTTGCTCTGTGTGGGCCAATCTCACCAAGGTAAGACTCAGGATACATCAGGTTCTTTAACTGACCTTGGGAAAGCAAATGCCTCCACTGTTAGCACAGGCCCCCCGACCTGGTGCAATGGGTTGCCACTACCAGGTGACCACTTTGTGCCACGTGGATGTGGCCTTCATGAAATTGAGATCTGACTCTGTTTGTGGTGTCACGCTTCATACCTTTTTTGACCTTCAACTGAATCTGTGTTTGATTTGGGGAAAACGTCCTGAAGCCCAAAATAGAGCAACATGCCTCTGACCCTGCTAATTACTGAACGTGCGAGCAGGGAGCTGTGGTTAACATCGTCAAGGAGTGAGGACACGGGTAGGAAGGAAGCAGTCAGAAAGCCTGCGGGGATCAGTTTTGAAAGCCGATTTGCACAGCCTAGAAATGTTCACAGGGGGAGAGCTACATGGCCGCAGTTGCTGAGCCTGTGGTTATGGTAATGATGACAGTGATGCTAACCATGGCAATAGCTGACCTTTACTGAATCCATGTTAAGCCCTGCTCTGAGTTCTCGACTTGCATTAGCCTTTTACAAGCTCACTCTGTGCCTATAGGTAGATACTGTTATATCTCATTCTATGGATGAGGAAACTGAGGCACAGAGTTTAAATGATGTGCCCAAGATCACACAGCAAGTACATGGCAGCTAGTCACAACTCACACCCAGGCTGACCAGTGTCAGAGCTGTTGTGTGCCCACTGATGCACGCAGCCTGCAAGTCAGAGTGTACAAGTTCAAAATACAGACAACTTTTGATTCTTTGTGAGTTACACCCAGGGAGAATATTTCCAACTGATAAACCATCATCAACAAATAGATATTGAGCAACTATACCTGTTCTCTAGGATGCATTTCCATGTTATTACTGCTTCCTGCCTTTTGGTCTCTAAATGTGTAAAGCGGGGAGAAATGACAGAAGCCACTGTGACTGTGTTCGGGGCAGACCCACCGTGTGCCCAGACCTTATGGATGTGCACCTGTGGAATGCACACTTCATCTGATTATCAGCCTCAATGAATCCTCATTAGAGCGGTAAAAAGAAAAAAAATTCCAGGCATATATTCCAAGGCCATTTGCACATTGGCACTGAGTTATTATTACTTTGAGTCATCCGTGGTGCTACTGCAAAACTAGAACTTGATCGCTTTCTAGCATTTGCCTAGAAAGTTGGGAGCCCAGCATGCCACTATCCTCCTGAATTTGGGGTCCTCAAGGGACCCCTGACCTCCTCAGAGGCTTAGAAAGGGCAAGCAAGAATCCTGAGTTGGAGGGGTTGCTTGGGCCACAGGGGTCAGACATGCCTGGGCAGGTGCCAGCTCCTCTTGAAAAAACCTCCTGACTCACCTAGGGATTCTTCTGGGAGCTCTTTAGGCAGCAAGCCTGGTTTTTCACAGCATAGATGGTGCTTCCCACTGGCATGTTTGTGACTAGTAGGATAGTAGGACAGGCCAGGAAACTGAGTGTACAAGCCAGGGAGAGCTGGCCTCTTTCCCCACCTGCAGTGTATGTATGGAGCTAAGAAAGGATGCCAAAGTCTCAGTTCTGCCCAAATCGCCCTTCTTGTTCCTGAGTCCTTCATCTGCAGATGGCACGGCTTTATGATGTTTATAGACCACAAACTCTCACAGCCAAAATTATTTCCACTACTGGGTTACATGTGCTGTTTCGGCTGGATTTGGGCTGTATTCATTCCAAAATCCATGTTCCTTTTGGGTGGGGCATTTCTTGAGAGTGGTCCTACCCTCAGAAGCGTTTGAATCATTTGTTAAAAGTAAATTGAAGGACATTAAAATATTGCGGAGCTTATCTGAACAGACAGCGGTTCATAAATCTGACAGCTCCAGAATTCAAGTGGTTTGAGGCCACACTGAAGGTGCTCCGGAAGAGGCTTTTATTGGGTGAAGATGGGAGGAAGGCAGATAAGGTATTTGCTTTGTTAAAATGGGGCCATAGCTGTCCTTGGATTATTCTGGCACTTGGGCAGGGACATAGGCCACTCACAGGCTCCCATGCTAGCCCCTGGCAGACTTGAGGGGGTGATGCTTACCTTTGCCCCTCCCTCTCATTCTCTCTTGCCTTCTCCTCCCCTTGTGCTACCTCGCTTCAGCCACTGCACCCTTAAGTGGGCCAGGGCCTTCCCAGGCATCCTGGCCAGGCCCACTGGCTGAGAGTGCCACCCGCTCAGTCCCTTGTACTTGAGTTGCCCCTCATAGGTTCTTAAACAGTGCCATGCCATGCAAATGAGCCACAGAGAGTCCTTGTGTTCCCCACTGGGAGCCTACCCACCAAGAGTGCAGAGACCCACGTTCGGTTCCTGCAGTGTCACCAGAGGCAGGAGTGGCAGCTGGCTGGGCATGGCCAGGTTTGGGGGAAGGGGTCCTCATATAAGCCTGGCAGGAGGAATGGAAAATTGGAAAGACAGAAAGGCCCAAGGAATGGTTAGTGTCACACCATACTCGAGCCAGTTCCGAGGGTCATACAGCCACCATTGACTGCACATGTGCCGTGGAGCCAGCTTCATGCCAGGCACTGGCATGTTCCCCTTGAGCTCTGCCCCACCCCAGCTAGCCCTGTGTCCCTGCCAGCTTCTTGGCCAACAGTGAGGAGGGGATTTGGGACAGGGGGTCAGTGCTGTTGGTCCCCTGCTAATGCTCTCTCACCTGGTGAGGTTTGCGAGCACCTGACTGAGAGTTTCCTCTGAGAACCTCCCATCACAGTTCTCCTGATGTAGGCAGAGCCATTCCTCCTGATAGTCACTCATACCTGTCACTGTGGCCCCGGCCTGTGGCCATTAGCCCTGGACAGGCCTCTCTGTGGGGCTCCCCATGGGGCTCTCGGGCTGTTTCCTAGAGCACTGCAGCCCAACAAGCGCCATGAAATGGGAGGGTTGTTTGTTCTGCTACAGTTGGAGGTCCGGAGGCTGAAGTCAGGGTGCCGGCAGGGTTGCGCTGGCCCTGAGGCTGGGGAGAACCCTTCTTTGCCTCTTCCCTGGCACCTGGTGGGGCCATCAACCCTCCGCATTCCTTGGCTGGCAGATGCTTCACCATGGGGTGGCCTCTGTCGGCCGTGGCGCACTCCCCATGTGCATTCTCTTCCCACCTCTGTCTCTTCTCATAAGGACACCAGCCACACTGGACAAAGGTCCAGCCCAGTCGAGTGTGACCTCACCTTAACTTGGTTCCATCTGCAAAGAACCTACTTCAAGGTCACACTCACAGGTACCAGGTTATGACTTCATATCTTTCTGCACAGTTCAACCGTGACATTCCCTCAAGATCTCATTTTTTTTTTTTTTTTCTTTTTGAGACAGTCTTGCTCTGTTGCCCAGACTGGACTGCAGTGGCATGATCTCTGCTCACTGCGACCTCCACCTCCCAGATTCAAGTGATTCTCCTGCCTCAGCCTCCCAAGTAGCTGGGATTACAGGCATGCACCACCATGCCCTGGTAATTTTTTTATATTTTTAAGAGAGTTGGGGTTTCACCATGTTGGCCAGGCTGGTTTTGAACTCCTGACCTCCAGTATCTGCCCACCTCGGCCTCCCAAAGTGCTAGGATTACAGGTGTGAGGCAGCACATCCGGCCCCTTAAGACATCTAGACACAGGCTCTACGTGGGACCCACACCTGAACCTTCACCTGACCCCCAGGTCGCAGCCCCATCCCCGGCTCTCACCCGCACTGGGGGCAGAGCACCTTTCTCCAGGACAGCTTGTCTGCTCTTTTCCCTCTGACCCTCTGTACCCTCGAAGGGAGTATTGTGAAGCTGGTTTGAGAACCTTGCTTTGACATCCTGCAGAGGAGGCCCAGCACTTTCCTTGGAAAGAGGGAGATTTTTGTTGCCTGTTGTTTTTTCTAAACCTCTGGAGGTTCAGCTGAAACTGAGGCAGAAAGAGTCCCATTTGGGGATCCGGTCACAAGTGGTTTTTCTGGCTTATTGTTCTGCCACTTAAAGGCCTGAAGGCAGTAGTCACACGAAGTTGACTCCTGTCTTCCAGAAGCTGAACTGGCACACAGGAGGCCCTGCTTTCTAAGAAAAGCAGCCCAGGCAGTCAGTCCTCAGAGGCGGGGATAGGTGTGGCTTTGCGGATAGATTTCTTTATTTTGCAAAACACCGAGCACCTGGGGAAGATTCTGTGCTGCAAGTGTGGCTGGTCCCACAATGTGGGGGCTGCTCCAGGGACACCCACTCAGGAGCTGAACCTCCTGTTGCTCTTTACATCTCTGCCCTTAGACTCAAGGTCAATGCTGAGCCTTGACTGGGGAGAAAAAAAGGCAACTTTACCCCACCTTCGAATGAGCACAGTGCCGTACAGTACAGAACCAGATGTCTTTAGAAGCATTATTCAGAAACTTCTCTGTGGGCCGAGGGACCCAGTCTTCACTCCATCAAGAAGAATTTGCACAGCACCCACTGGGTGACAGTCTCAGAGATGCAAACATTGAGACAGCCTGCCGGTCCTTGCCCTCCATGCTCTGACAGTTGTGGATGAGGGGCTCTAATCCGCATCTCTGTGTGCGAGGCACAGGGCCAGGTGCCGTTGGGGGCAACAAGATGAAGACTCTGCCCTTGGGAGCTTGATTGCAGGCGGAAAGCAAAGTGCGAGAGAATCAGAGAAGGAGAGAGAGGGGAAGGGGCGAGGGCCAAGAGCAGGGGCTTTTGAACCTGGTCTTGAAGAATGGACAGCAGAGGGGAAGGAAAAATGACTTTGGGAGAGAGCTGGGAAGAGTCGGAACAAAAACCCGGAGATAGCAGAACAGAGTGCACGCTGGGCGGGGTGGGGCTGTAGTCCTGTTCCCACATGGTAGGTGGCCGTTTCCCACACACTGTTCTGGCACTAGCCGGTACCCAAAACACGTTTGCTGGGTGAATGTAGTAAGAAGACGTGCAGTTGAGGCTGGAGGGGAGCGCTCGGGGTGGATTGTGACAGATGAGAGTGAGACCAGCTTCAGGAGGGGCCTGCAGTTAGTGGACAAGAGGGAGATACTGGGGTCTGAGTGGACCACACACCCTCAGCCCAGCCAGGAGGCAGGCCATGCCACAGTCATGTTTAAAGGTAGAAGGGACAGAATTTGGTCGCTGATCCTACCTGAAAGTGAGGAGAGGCGTGGTCTAAGGTGCCATCACGGCAAGAGGGAGTCGCAACACGGAACCTTAAATAGTGTGGCTGCATCTTTGGCTTTTGATTTACCCTCTTCCTCCTGTGTTTTCTTCTCTCTCACAGCCTGATTGACAGAAGAGGGTATATCCAGCCCGACACGCCGCAGCCAGCAGCACCCTCCAATGGCATCACCATGTATGGGGCCACGCAGTCACAGAGTGACATGGTAGGAGAGGGGGCCGCGGCTCCCCGCCAGGGCTTCCCTTTCGCTGCGTGCTCACTGACAGGTCACCAAGCAGTCATCCTAGCAAACCTCCCCAGAAGCCGGGCCAGCCCACTGCCACCCACCCAATGACTACCGCGCTCAGACAGTAGGCAAGGCGTTAAACTAAGACAGTAGCCAAGGAAGCGTGTGGCCACTGAGTTCAGTGTGCTTGCTCACGGTTGTGCAGGGGAAGTCCACACACGCGATCCCTCTGCCAAAACAGCTGAGGCACGTGGCTGGAAGCCCCTTATACAGGAGCAGGCTGTGGTTTGAGGGATCAGGCGCACGTCCCAGGCAGGGCTGGGCTGGTGATCTTTTCCCTTTCCATCCCTTGGTAGCCATCTGTACTGACCCCTCCTCCGCTTCTTTAAGTGTACAAAGGATGGCGCTGCCAGTTCTCCCTGCTTCAACACAAAGTCTGGGATCCACCCTGCGTACCCTAGTGCAAGTGATCGGACCAGGTGTTCATTCACTCGCAGCAAAACTGAACAGTGCCTCTCTAGGGAGCGTGCAGGTCTCATGCTTTCTTCAACGGGTGGATACAGTTTGCTTCCCATATGCAGGTTTCTAGCATGCAGGTGGGACATCTGGGGAAGGAGGCAGGAGTCGCTCATGGACACCAGAAATCCCAGCCTGGCCTGGACCTGACTATGGTGTCTTAAGATCCCCTAGGTGTCTGGAAGGCAATGGCCTCTCTTTAGTTCCATGTTCCTGCAGAGGTCTTTGTCTGTGATCCTGTGCTGTGTGCTCTTTCTATGTTGAATCCCTACTGCGGAGCATCCATGACAGGTCGGAGACCTGACTTTCAGGTAGACAGGACGTGGCGAGCAGCCCACAGCACCTTGGTTCTGGGTGCAAAGAACTGCAAGGTGGAAGTTGGCAGGCTCAGGACCGTCTCTAATAGCTCAGGGCCAAGGGAGGCTGTTTAATTCCACATTGACCTGAGTGGCTGTGTTCACAGCTGCGGGAACTAGGCTCAGCCCCCAGCAGAGGTGGCTGGGATTTACGTGTTGGCAGTGGTGGTGTCTTCTTTGTGTTGTTTTGCCCTGCTTTGCGAACAAAGTATTTTCTCTTTTTTTTTGAGAGACAGAGTCATGCTCTGTCACCTAGGCTGGAGTGCAGTGGCACAATCTCGGCTCACTGCAACCTCTGCCTTCCAGGTTCAAGTGACTCCCCAGCCTCAGCCTCCTGAGTAGCTGGGACTACAAGTGTGCACCACCATGCCCAGCTAATTTTTGTATTTTTAGTAGAGACAGCGTTCTCCATGTTGACCAGGTTGGTCTCGAACTCCGGACCTCTGGTGATCCACCTGCCTCAACCTCCCGGAGTGCTGGGATGACAGGCGTGAGCCAGTGCCTGGTGCGTTTTCTTTCAAAGCAAGTATGTTGACTTCAAGGCCCTTGCCACTCACTCTGTAAGGGATCGGGGAAACAGCTTGTTTGGTGAGAACTCACACACTCAGAGAGATGTTAAGGGTCACTCCCCCAATGTTTTTCAGAAGAGTAAACTGAGAACAGAGGGAGGAAAAGAGGGGGTCACATTCACGGGGACCAGCTGTGTTCCAGGGCACGTGGTGGTCAGCACCTCATTTAACCCTAAAGCAACAGTGGAAAAAGGGGACACTTGTCCCCACCATTTTAAGTAGGAGAGATTAATCCTCTGTCTACCCAAGGGCACACAGACACTGATTTGTGGGTTCAAAACTAGCCTGGTGACTCCAGTGCCCATGTTCACTTCGTATACCGCATGCCCTCAAGTGCACAGGCATAAAAGACCAGTAGATCTGTGCTCTGAGACCTTGACGATTCGCAGGTGCACAAGGAGTGCCCTTTGAGGGCAGAGCTCACCAGGATTCTGGCCACATACGTTGATCATGTCTGTCTGGTGTGTGTGTGTGTCTCATTCAATCAGCAACTCCACCTGGGTTCCCTCTGTGTACTGAGGACTAGAGTAGGAGCTGCAGATACAAGGTGTGTGGAGTACAGCTCACCTGCCTTCAACGGGGTCAGCACTCAGGGCACCACGTGGGCAGATACATGAAGGAAGCATTAAGAACCTTCTGCAGAATTCACCACTAATGGCAACCGTCCTTATCAAAACCATGGACTTACGTTCATCCTACCCTGTGACCCCCACAGTACTGGGCTCGCCAAGTGCTGCACGGTGCTCATCTCACCAAGCTCTACACTTTCTTGAGATTAAGAAAATTAACAAAGGCTGTTTAAAGGTGCTTTCACCAGGAAGCCACTTCAGGTCAAGACCAGATGGGACACAATTCAGCAAACAGTTATTGAGCACCTATCCTGGGCCTCAGAGAAGGTAGGTTTGATGATGGAAGTGGGGAGGTCATTTTACTCCAGATGGCAAATCAGCTTCCTCTCCGGAGTCCGTTCATTCTACACCTGCACCAAGACTGTGGTCAGGCGCACACATTTGTGATGTGGCAGAAATGGTAGGGCACATTTGCCGATTCCTGTAAGAGTCACCTTCCAGCTAACTAGTACCCCTGAAGCACCGGGCTGTGACGTTTAAGGGTTGTTGGAAGAGGACCCTGCACAGGTTAAGAAAGAGGACACCGTCACAGTGCAGCCGTTGCCTGTTTATCACCCCGATCACTCAATTCAGTGTAAGGCTACTTATTTTATTTATTTATTTTTTGAAACAGTGTCTCACTCTGTCACCCAGGCTGGAGTGCAGTGGCGTGATCTCCACTCACTGTGACCTCCACCTCCTGGGTTCAAGTGATTCTCCTGTCTCAGCTTCCCAAATAGCTAGTATTACAGGTGTGTGCCACCACGCCCAGCTAGTTTTTGTATTTTTTAGTAGTGACAGGGTTTCACCATGTTGGCCAGGCAGGTCTCAAGGTCCTGGCCTCAAGTGATCCACCAGCCTCTGCCTCCCAAAGTGCTATGATTACAGGCATGAGCCACTGTGCCCAGCTGGTAAGACTACTTTTTAAGGCATCTGTTCATCTGGGGGCTTAAGTACCATGTCCAGAAGCTTGAAGATGACAAGAATTACCAAGGCTCCTTGCCCTGCTGTTCTCCACTGCGACTGAAGATGGGACAGTCTCAACACCCTGGAAAGAGCTACATGCAACATCACCAGGCCACTGAGCACCAGGCAGATCAGGAAGAGCTCTGGACCCAGAAGCAGAGCCTCTTCAGAGCCGGCCTTGGGCTGGTGGCATACAGAATCATGGCAGGATTGAGTGAGGACCTGCAGCCCTGGTCACCTGCCCAGGCTGACAGTGCACTCTCTGCCATGCACACCTGAGGGTAGGTGGCTCCACATCCCCTGCCATCCATACACACAAAAGGCAGAGAGCATCATTCTTTTTTTTTTTTTTGTGAGACAGAGTCTTACTTTGTCACCTAGGATGAAGTGCAGTCTTGCGATCTCAGCTTACTGCAACCTCCGCCTCCTGGTCTCAAGGTGAACCTCCCACCTCAGCCTCCTGAATAGCTGGGACCACGGGCATGCGTCACCGTACCTGGCTAATTTTTGCAATTTTTATAGAGACAGTTTTGCCACATTGCCCAGGCTGATCTCAAACTCCTGACCTCAAGCAATGCACCTGCCTCAGCCTCCCAAAGTGTTGGGATTACAGGTATGAGCCACCACACCAGCCATTCATTTCTTTACTCAGGCATGCACAGATTTTTCCAGAGAGCTTCTAGGGGAAGGCTTGAAAGCACTGTTGGGTGTAAAGAAATTAACAAGGCTCACATGCCCCTGGGAGCTGTACGGTACAAAAACACTTCAGCATCACAGCCCTGACGAATCCATGCCTGTATGTCTAGGGTCAGACACATGATATGTGCATGAAATTTCAGGATCAAGATCTCCCCTTAAAGCCCATGGACCCCATGGTAAAGAAACCCTCCATCAGTGAGTACCATGGTCTACCTTCCTCCCTAACAGAGACAAAACTGTAAAAAACCTAAACATCTTGGGAATCATGTGCATGTGAGCGCTACTCTGGATTTGGTAATAGCACAGAATTGTGTGTGTGTGTGTGTGTGTGTGTGTGTGCATGTGCACATGCTATTAGCTGGGTGCAGTGGCTCACACCTGTAATCCCATCACTTTGGGAGACAGAGGTGGGTGGATCACGGGATCAGGAGTTCAAGACAAGCAAAAAAAAAAAGCCTTACATTGAATTGAGTGATAAAGGGCCTCCGGAGTAGCTGTGATTATAGACACCTGCCACCACACCCAGCTAATTTTTTTATTTTTAGTAGAGACAGGGTTCCACCCTGTTGGCCAGGCTGGTCTCACGCTCCTGATCTCATGATCCACCCATCTCGGCTTCCCAAAGTGCTGGGATTACAGGCATGAGCCACTGCACCTGGTCAATAGCACAGAACTGTAGTCTAAGTCCCTGAAGCAGGATGTTCCAGTCCGTGATAAAAGCTGTACAGATACATCTCTTCCACATGGCAAATGCTTTTGAGTCAGCCAACAGGCTTTAGGATGCCTTTTTATCCCCATCCTGAAGAGGAAAATTGGAGATGGGAATTTACTGTGCAGAGACCAGACTGCTGCCACTTACTAGCTGCATAACCTTGATGAGTTAATTAACCTCTCTCTGCCTCAGTGTTTTCATCTATAAAATGGGAACATTGATATTCTTACCTTGAAGGGTTTCTGTGAGGATTAGGTTCAGACATATAAAGCACTTAAAACCTTCCCTAGCACAAAAGAAGTATGATTTAAGTGTCTGCTGTTATTATTATTGTCTCCCTGAGATCCATGAGTGGCAAGATGAGTGAGCTCCACTGTACCCTCTCAGAGCAACTGACAAACAAAAGAGATGGCTGGTGTGAGGGAAAGAGCCCAGGATGGGAACCAGGGAACGAGCGCTCCCATTCTGGCTGTTGCCAGTTAGTTCCCTGACCATTAGCAGGCCACTCTTGCCTCACTGGTCCTCAGTTTTCCTCATCTGCAAAATAGGAGCT